GGAATTCAGTGGGGCCTGGGAGCTTTAATAGCACTGTACGGGGAACGATTCCAGTGTCCCCCGGGACAGGCTCTCACCCCTGTGTGGGGGCGACTACGTGGTCATGAGGCCCAATGGAGAGGCCGAGAGCTGGGGCTGGGAGGTGGGAACAGTGTAGACACCCCAAACACACGGGACCTAAGCCGCAGAGGGCCTCCATGCACCAGGCACGGCCGTGCTGAGAGCCGCTGGATGCCGAGTGCTCAAGGGCGGGGCAGGCAGGCTTTGGAGCCGGAACAGGTGCCCCCAGATGGGTCTGTCAGGTGCATTGCAGCATCTGCCAGAGGACCAAGGTCACACGGGTCACAGCAGAGACGAAAAGTGGCCAGAATGATGTCTGTGACACCAGCTCAGTGTTAGCCTGAGGGCCACAGGGGCCCACTCTGCCCAGGGTGCAGACGCCAGACTGGCCAGGTTGGCTGCCATGCAGCCACCCACGGGCGCGCTCCCTGGGTGTGGGTGCGAGGGGTTAGTGGAACGAGCATTGGGAGTGTCCAGGGGGTGATGGTCTGTGGGGATCCCTGACCTTGGTGGCACCCCACTGTCTCTAGTGGCCAGCCTCTCCAGGGCCTGACCAAGTGGCACCCCACCTGGCAAACGGCCTCCCCTTGTTGGTTCCCAGGCCAGAATGTGAGGTGTCAAGACTAAGCCTCCACCGCCTTTGCAAGCCTCGCCATGCCTCAGTCGCCCGGCAGCCCGGCCTTGCACCTGAAGGGCAGCATGCTGCTGGTGCCCGTCCCCCAGAACACCATGGCCAGGTGCTGCTCCCTGCGTCCCCACAGCTGGGTCCTGCTCGCCCTGGGACTCCTTCCACAGTGACGTCCGTCCCTGCTGAGGCTGAGGGAAGCCAGTACCCCAGGTCTCCAGGGTTGGAAACACAGAGACTGCCTATTCTGTGGGTGCCGGCTCGGTCACTCCCCAGGCCGAGGTACTTCTGACATGCGTGGACACAGGGTTTCTTGAGCCTTAGGAGTGCCTCGGCCCCACGTCAGAGGGACGGAGCGCAGGGCCAGGGGCTGGTCCCACGGGGACTGCCCGTCAGGAGCAGGAAGTCAGCGTGGTTTCAGGGTAACGAGAACCCACAAGGAAGCAGGCTTGGTTTCTGCTCACCACCGGTCTACACAGCAGAAGGCACGCCCGGGAAGGGTAGCCTGTCTGTGTCCACACCATCACGGCCCGATGGGGTTCCCCTTGCGGTGGACTACTGTGCCTGACCAATTTTTCCTTTGTGAAAATCACACTATGGCTTTTCCTGATTTAAATTATCCCCCCCCCCCTTTTTTTGGGTGGAAATTTGAAAAATACAGACTAAAAATTTCCCAACATCTCTGTGTAGAGTCAGGCTGTGTTTGCTCACTAGGCAGGGAGATGGACCGCCTCCCAGGGCCCATCACATGCAGCCCCCTTCTCCAGCCCTTCAGGTCTGCAGGGTCTCGGGTGTGTAGGCCCAGATGTTTCAGAGAGACTGAGGCTGGGGGTACGGCCATGCTGGCCCCGTGGTCTCCAGCGCTGCAGTGCGGGATATTACCACTGCCGCCAGGCTGCACCACTGGTGACTGACTTTTCTTTTTTAATGTAATAAATTTAATTTGATTCCATTACACAGAATGTTAAAAATGAATCGAAACTCAGGTTATGCTGAACTTGAGATAAATTTCCCTTCCAAACATGTGATGTTAGTCCCTAAAATATCCCCATTGAGTTGCCGAAAGGTTCTGAGGGTCAGCTGGTGACGCGGTGGTGGCCACAGCTCTGCCATGCTTCCTCCATGTGGACGGCGGGGTTTGGTTCCCAGGCCAACCTAAGCTATGCACACACGTGTGCTCCGGTGACTTGGCTGGCCGGGAGGGCTGGGCGGGTCCTGTGTGAGGCCCTGTTGGGGGTGACCCCCTCCCACGCTCTGGAGAAATAAACTTTAAAAACATGTTTTGAAAATATTTTGGTTGGTTTTCATTTAACAATGTTTCTTAAAATGTGGGCTTTGAGTCAGTGAAACCACTGACTGTTGGACAGTTGTCCAAACAATTATTAAAGGTTCCATTTTTAATTTTAAAAGTTTGAAAATCAAACTGATTTTTAGGATAATTATTCCAGAGAAATGAACAGAGAAGGGTTGGTGGAGTAAACACGCCAGAGAGGCTGACTACTTTCAGGGAGGCCGTGACAGACGCGGCCAGCTCTGCGGGCCCCTGGGCCCAGCTCAGGAAGTTGGGCCCACCCAAGACCAGGAAGGGGCACCTCGGGTCTGTGGGATGCTGCTGCCGTTGGGGCGGGTGGGGGAGTGTGAGCTGTCATTTCCTGGGTTCTACTTGGCCACAAGGATCACCTGCTGCATCTGGTTCTCAGACCTCACGGGCTGCCTTCCATCCCCTTTCCATGGGCGGGAACCCAGGGCTCAGAGGGGCGTGGGCGGCTTAAACTCAGGCTTGACTAGTTCTGAGGACCACGAGCCTCTCTTTGTTGAATTTATTGGCTGGTGCTACGAGAGGTACAAAGATGACTCCTTCCTTGGCCAGAGGCAGCCCTGGCCAAGCAGGGAGGCATGTTGGAATGGGGTGAATGGTACATGCTGGGCCGGGCCTACCCACATGCCAACAATAGGGGCCAAGAGCATGAAGGAGAGTCTCGGAGTTGTGGGTGCCCATTGGGAAGGGGAGGAGGAGGAGAGAGGGCCAAGTGGAAGACTTGGTAGGACTTGACAGGAGGCTGGCGCAGGGCTGACCCAGATGGTGGCCTGGTGCTGGCTTGGAGTGAGCTTGTCACAGATGGGAGGGACGGGCAGACTGAGAAGAAATGTCTGCATGGAAATGTCACCCGGTGTGGGGAGGGGGTGTGCCAGGCTTGCTCAGGAGAAGCTACCCCCAGCACACGGCCTCTCTCCCTCTGTGCCCACCTCAGACGTCCGCTCCCATGAGGGTCTGGTATCATGGACGTGCAGAGAGTAACTCCTGGGTCAGTGCGAGGGGCCTGCAGGTGCTGCTGGGCGGGGACTGTGCAGGGTGCTTGGAGATGGAGGCCTGCAGAAAGCAGTGAGAGAGGAGCCCGCAGCCGGAGTGGGCACTGCATTAGAACCCTCCTGGGAGAGCTGAGGGCTGGAGGGTGCACAGCTCCATGATGGGCACTGGGCAGGGTGGGACATGCCCCAGTGGAGGCACTGCACAGGACGCCTGGACAGAGGCATGAGAAGCACTCGGTCTGCAGGTGCACGATGCAATGGGGTGCGGGAGGAGGCAGCAAGGCTTCGGCCCTTGGTACCTGCCCTGGCCCTGACAGCTGGTGCAGCCTCGCTGGGCATGTAGGTGCTCACTGGGGACAGGAGGGCAATGGCAGCACTGAGGCTGTGTGGTGGCAGTCGACCACTGGTGCCTGGCTTGCTCCTGCCCTTAGTAGCACAGACTACTGCTGGGAGCTACAGCAGACGGGACCCTGCAACTCCGAGCTGCCCAGGGTCCCTGGCCAGGTGTTCTGTAAGTCCCGTCTAGCTGTCTTCAGCACCAGCATGGCACGATTCAGAGAAGCCTGGGGTGTCCCCTCTGCCTGGTGGGAATCAGAGTGGGAAGCCAGCTTGAAGGACATGCTCTGACCTTTCCTGCCTACATGTGTGTTTTCCACATGGATGACAAGCGGTTCCCATGGCAACATTGCTATGCCTTTGCCCTCGCCTCAGAGTCCTTCCCTTTGGATCTGGTTCGCAGGGGCGCTCCCTGGCGCCTACCTGAGTGCGCACTACTCATGTACATAGACCCAGAGACAGACGTGGGACACCGAGCTTGGGGACACCGCCCGTCGGTAACCAGCGCTGGTTACAGTGGTCGTTGGTGGTTCCCATGCAGATTAAAGAGGGTAGAAACATCCCTCAGATCAGCACCAAATACAGCGGATGGCCCATAGGAGGCTCTGGAAGTCGCTGGTAAGGGAGCCCAGCAGATGTCTCTTGAGCAGCCCTTGGTTTACCTTCCCAGGAAGTGAAGACACCCCTCGACCCCGTGGAGGGCAGTACGGGCTGGGTGGCCGGCCGCGCTTTCCAGTACTGAGCTGGGCCAGAAAGCGGCACGGGAGAGCCCCTGGGCCCTCACGGGAGAGGTCATGGGCTGGTACCCGGGAACGGACTGCTCTGAGCATAGTGGGCGTGCCTGTGATCCGGGCCAGCGGAGACCTGGGGAGGACTGGCGTGGAGACCTGGTCTGGGTTGCTTCTCCCTCTCGCAGACGGGGTAGGTAAAACCTTACACGGCCCTGGCGCTCCGCGGCACACCACAGCCGGTGGATAGCACCTCTCTCTCCCCTTGGTCCTGTCCAGGTGCCCACCCTGGGGGGGCTCTGGTCGGGAGAGCTCCACGAAGGGAAGGACAGCTCCTGGGCAGCCGGGGTTGTCCACCGCCTTCCCGTCAGGACTGTTCCTAGTGTGGCCGGGCGTGGGCAACTCTTGCTTGTGAAGCCATCCCCGAGAAGGGAACCAGGTATCTAACGGCCACAGATGGCCCCTGCCTGTGCCCTTCCTCATGTCACTTAGGGGTACCCGCGTAGTGGGCCAGTGGCTGAGTTGGGCACTGGGCCAGGGTCCTCGGAGCTTACTGACTGTGGGTGATGGGAGGTGACCATCACGTTCAGGTACCCACTGGCTGCCCTCCTGGGGGTGAGAGAAGCCTGCGCCTACAGCACCGCGGTTGCTCGGCGAGCCTGGACCCTCACCGCGATGTTCCCCTCCAGGCGTGGGTGGGGTGAGGGCCTCTGTGATAAGGGGCCTCACCCTTCTGAGGGCACACCTGTCACCCTGGCACACAGGCAGTGCCAGTTTCTCCCAGGATTAATCCAGGCCTTTGCCCACTGGGACACTTCCGGAGTTCAAACCCTGACTCTCACTGGCTGTGCAGCCTTAGGCGAACTGCTTAGTCTCTCTGAGCCTCTGTGACCCCACCTGTAAAGTGGGGTGGTGATGGGGCCGACCTCACAGGATGGTGGTGTTCTCACACACACCGCACGCTGACAACACGGGGTGCTCGCCAGTAAACAGGTACAGCGGTGCAGTTATCACCCATATCATCCCCGTGCAGGGTGGCCCAGTGGGGTTCTCTGAGGGCAAAGCCTCAGCATGCAGAGGGTGGTCAGTGGGCCCCACGGGCCCAGAGCCAGCCTGCAGGAGCTCCCAGGGCTCCCTCCAGGAAGCTCTCCCGCCCCTCCCGGGTGCAGGTGGTCTCTCTGGGCTTGGCCAGAGCTCCAGGCCCCTGCTGCAGGTAGCTAAGGACTGGTGCCACTGTGCAGGTGGCTGTGACCCTGGCGCCTGCTCTGGCAGACAGACCCTTGCAAGCTTGGTGAGCGGGGGCAGGCGTGCTGTGTGACATGACCGCCCACAGAACTGCTGGGGAGAGATGCCTGGCAGGTTGAGCAAGAGGAACTTTCTGTCTCAACTGACAGCAAAGGGGCAGAGAAAACCTATGCGGCAATCTCCTGAATTCCGAAGGGCTGGGGCGGAAGATGCCCTGGGGACTCAGCGCTCGGATGGGCTTGGGGAGATGCCAGAGGCCCAGAGCTGTCACCCTGGAGTCCCAGCAGCCCCCGACCTACGGTCACCTCTGCGGAAGGCTTTGGAATCTGCTCTCAGAGGAGGAGGCGGGCGTGGACGAGGGACCCACCACATGGAGGCCCTCCGAGCACCCTCGCTGTGCAGACGGAGACCTGAGGCCTTTCTGGAGCACCAGGAATGATGGCCCTGCGGCGTGGGGTGGGGGGACACGGTGCAGCCGAGGAAGGCTGCGAGGGCTGGGCTGCTGCTCAGAGCCCCAGGCCCTCAGTGTGCGCCATGGGGTCCCCTGCTGAGCCACCACGGCTCCTGAGGGTTGCAACTGTTTTTCGCGTTTCATGGATGCTGGGACTGAGACTTAGGGAGTTTCTAGGTCCCTCCTCCAGCTAACAGAGATGGGGCTGCCATGCCCCGAGGGCCCCATGTGAGTGTGGGCTCTGGCCTTCACCTAGGCCCAGTGAGGAGAGGTCTGATGTGGAGGTGGGGGTTCTGGGCTGGCCTGTGGGCACCGCGTGTCTGACCTGGGGGTGAGGAAGGGCTTTGTGCCACAGGGAGGACCATGGCCTGTATAATGACCTCATAGCTGTCCAGCCATCGGGTCTCAAGGGGTCCCCACACAATCCTGTTACTGTCTGCAGCCCTGCTTGGTTAGATGATGACACCGAGGCCGGAGGAGCTTAGGGAAGCGTTAGCAGCAAGCAGGATGGTAAGTAGGGGTCCTGGACCCCAGGAAGGCCACTCCTCCTCAGTGCCTCCGCTGAGAGGAGCTGCTTTTCAGGGCGGAGAGCACAGGAAGACCGTGGGTTCCGATAGGTCAGGGCCAGGAGGACAGGCCCTGGGAGGCTGGGAAGGGGTCCAGGCTCATGGTGCAAGCTGAGAATGAAGACAGGGAGCAGCGGAGGAAGAAGGGTGGCCGCCCTGCCCCAGCCACTGAGGGCTCGCCCTGGGAGCCATGTGTTAACCACGTGTTCGCTGAGCACCACCCTGAGCTGCGGGCTTTCCCCCCACACTGAGAGCAGAGGCCGCCCCTCCTGGGTCTGCTTTACCCCAAGTCCGAGCACCCACCCCAGCGAGGCCTAGGAGCCCGTGGCCACGCCTCCCAGGGTCAGACTCCCTGGCATTCACTGTGAGGGGTGTGACCTCCCCACTGCCTGGGGACCTGGGACTGTCCTCTTGTCCCCAGTCCTACCTGCACAGCCTGTCTGGTCCCCTCTGGCCAGGCTCCAGCCCCTCCCAAGGAGGGCAGAAGCCAGCACCGGGAAGGGCTGCCCCTCCCTGCCCAGGCAGGGCTGCGTGTGTGAGCAGGTGGCAGCCCTCGGGTACCGGTCTCTTGGTTGGCTGATGAGGTGAAGCCCCCGAGTCCATCAGCACCCAGGGCTGCGGCTCTGCCTGCTGCAGAGGGCATCCCAGCTCCCCCCGTGTGTGTTGAAGGGCGGCGGGCACCCAGCGGTGTGTGACTTCGGTGGTCACATAACCCGGCTATGCCTCAGTTTCCTCTCACTCCCAGGCCTCTGCCCCAGGGCTGACCCCAGGGTGCAGACTGCAGGAAACATGGGAAGTCCCTGGCCAGTAGGGCTCCTGGAGGAGGCACGGAAGCAGTGGCCGGGGAGAAGGACCAGCCAGCAGGTGGAAATTGCAGGCTGGCCGCCCCTTGTTCTGCTCCTGAGGGGTCTGGGGCCCTGCTGGGGATAGGAGATGCTGCCTCACCCCCAGCAGGTGCAGCCTCCACCCTCTGTCCCTGAAACCTGTCCCCACAAAGGCAGCAACAGCCAGATGGGTCCCTCAGAAAAGAGCCCCAGGAAGACAGGCTGGAAGGGAGCTCACGGGTCCCCACACCATGGTCCGGCACTCTTGGGGAGCACACCCTGAGAACAGCCAGAGCCCCAGCCCCAGGGGCCGAGGGAGACTCTCCTCTTACCTTGGGCGGGGCCTCCGGTGGTGCTCAGGACAAGGCCGCAGAGGGCGAGCAGAGCTCCCGCTGGCCGCATGGCTCCAGTGGAGGGCAGTGCCGAGCTGTCCTGCTGGGCCCAGCCGTCCTAGGCGGCACCTGCACTGGGGTGGGCTGCCCCAGCGTGGGGCAGTGCTGGGGAGGAGTGTGGCGGGTGGAGCCAGACCCCTTGAACCACCCCCAGGGTTGGGGCGGTGGGGGGGTTCTTGCTGAATCATTTTAACCAGATGCTCCTCACCTCCAGATCTTGGTGGCCACAAACACAACCGCTTCCTTTACACGTTTCCAGGCAGCAGCCGTTCTGGGGGAGGGGCAGAACGAAGCCTGTGACAGCCCTGCTGCCCTTTCTGCCAGGACACACGAAGCAGAAGTCACATGAAAAACGAGCCGGGATTTTCAAGAACGGAATCGCACAGATGTCCTTCTCCAAACGACGCTGCGCCCGCCTGAGCTGGGGGTTCGCAGTGGCTGGTGGTGACTGTGCATCAGGTGACGCAGAGGGACTTGCCCCTGGCGGGAAAGCAGGGTGCAGATGGCGGTGTAGTGGACGCCCCTGTCAGCGCCCACACTGCGCCTGGAGCCAGAGGTGGGCGGTGTGAGTGGCTAGTGATCAGTCACGTCCTATCGTGGCTCCAAGCTGACAAAGGAGAGGACAGAACGGGATGTGGCTCAGAGGTTCTGGGGCCCTAGGGACACCTGCCTGTACATACCTCGCCCAGCCGTTAGGAGTAGGGCTCTGGAACGACACTGAGTTTGAATCCCCATCGGCCTCTTAGCCCTTGGGTGACCCGAGGTGAGGAGCAGCCTCTCTGAGCTCAGTTTCCCCACAGGAAGGCTGTGGGGAGGACTTGGGGGTGTCCTCAACACAAACGCTGAGCAAAAGGAGTAGCTCAGAGTGGTCTGTGGATGTAGGTGAGGCTGAGTGCAGCCAGAGCCCCAGGGCCCCCCAGGCTCCCGCTCACAGCCAGCTCTCCCCACAGCTCTGGCTCACGGTGCACACAAGGGGAAGCGGGCCAGTGCCTGCCGTGTGGACAGGGCCACGGGGACTCCTGACCAGCAACTCCTAATGCCACCGTGCTCATGCGTCCCTTTATCACACAAACCAGCTTCGCACAGCCATTTCTGGGCAACCAGAGGCCTGCGTCACCCGGTGAATGTCCCATGTCCTGGCTCGAGTAGATTGCTGCTATTTCACCTGCTCCGCCTCTTCGGGGTTGGCAGTGCTCAGGCCGGAGTGGAACAGGCTGTCACAGCCTTGACCTCAGGGAGGGTCACTGCCCTGTCAGCCCCGGGCCATGCAGGCAACAGCGGGGCCTGCTCCTCATGGTGCCTGTGCGGAATGGCACATGAGTGCCGTGCGCCGTCATCACCAGGCTGACCAGACACGCAGGTATGTCAGACCTTCGTGACGGTGAGCTCCCAGGATGCCCTCGCACATGGTCCAGCTTCCCGGCGGGAGGTCTGGGTGCGCCTACCTGAGTCAAGCTGCCCCCCTCAGACCTTGATCGCCTCCTCAGCCCACCTCTTGTACCGTCACGGGAGATGGAAGTTCTCCCAGGGATTGGGGGACAGAGACCATAGCATGTGACTGTGTGATGTTCGTGGGGCGTGTCACGGGGCTGTGTCTGTGAGGCGTTGACTGTGAGGAGGGATGGCTTCTGGGGAGGCAAGGCAAGGATGGCCTAGGCCTCCTAATTCTGGTGACTGTGGTGACAGCAGAGGCAAAGCAGCAGTCGGGGTAATCTGAGTAGTAACTGGCACAGATGGAGGCGTGACTGACCGGCCACGGTGCTCTTCGTGTGACAGAGGGGACGCCTGCTCGATTCCCCCTTGGCCTGTGCAGGCAGGGGAGTTCCAGGTCGAGGAAACACACATCTAACCTGAATCCTGCAAACAGGGTCGCGGCCTCCCAGTCGACTCCAGACCGGAGCCTTGAGTGGAAGAAGGCCAGGTCCCCTCGAGGAAGAACCCGGTCCACCCTGAATGGGCATGGTTACTCTTTGTCCTGGCATTCCAAGGGACCTGTGTCTTGCGAGACCCGTCCAAGACTGCTAGACCCCAGCTGATTCCAGAGGCCCCAAAATGTCCCTGTGGCCCCAGTTAGAAGAAGGGCCTAGAAGTCGGGGCAGTGGCGTCTTAGCTCAGACCCATCTCAGGGGGCCCAGTGGGGCAGGCGGCAGTCGGACCAGGTCTGGGCAGTGGAGCGGGATGGATACGGTCAGACTCCCCATCTGGAGCCTCAGAGCAGCCCCGCCTGGAACGTTGCGGAGAGACAGCACTCCCCAACAGGGCTGGGACACCATGATCCACCCTCAGCCTAGGCAGCCCTGGGTTTTAGACTCAGGAAGGTTCCTGGGGCTGAACCCAGAACCGTCCCATGTGGGTCAGCTTCAGAGAACACCACGTGTTAGGGCTGCACACCGCCCAGTGCCCCCGAGCCCGTTGCTGTAGCTCAGTCACTGCGTTGTACAAGGGCACTGTTAGCCTGGCTGTTTCTTCAACTCGTCTCCACGCCATCACTTTACAGATGAGGGAACTGAGGCAGGCGGCGAGTGGGAAGGTGTTGGAAGCTATGCAGGACGGGTTCAGGCCCAGAGGGTGGCCTGGCTCCCGGCTCCTCGGCTGCCTCCTGCAGGCAGGCACTACGACCAGGGCCTTTGCTAGGTCCAGGGCCGGCGCCTGGAGAGACCCTGGGCCCCTCGGGCTGCAGATGTGAGCTCATGGTCTTTGCCTTGGTATGGAGGGGTCGCTCACCTCGCTGCACGGCCACAGCACAGCTGAGTCTCTGAAGCTGCAACGGCTGTCCTCGCCACACCTCCTGTGGGCCAGGGCTCACAGCCAGGAGTGCTGGGAGACCCGAGGGGGCAGCGTTGATCCAGGGCCGCCCGCAAGCCGTGTGAGCAGAAGTGGGAGCCTCGAAGTGTGGGCGAGAGGTTTTTCTGTTCGTAAACTGCGTGACCGAAACCCAGCTTCTGGGCCAGTGCAGAGTGCATCAGAGGTATGGGGGTGGCTTCTGCTACCTTTCTGTTCTGCTCGAGCTTTGCTTTTAAAAGTCAGCGGTGGTTATCTGACTTCAGAGTGTGGACAGAAGTCTGCCTGCTTTTTCTGAGTTTTCCGAAGTCCTTTCCAGAGGGCCTAGGGGGAGTCATTTTTTACTTTTCCTATTTAACAGGATTCTTCCTGCATCCTGTCCCTGGCATAGTATCTTTGAGATGTATATTCAACTGAGTACAATGTATTCTTTTCTTTTTTTCCTTTTCCTTTTTTTTTTTTTAGAGGTTTTTGCTATAGGGTGCATGTGCTCACCAGACAGAGAGAGGCAGAGAGACAGAAAGCAAGAAATCACCCCCCAGGGGGTTGGCCACACCACAATCCCTTCTCCTCCATTCTCCTCTCGGATCTTGGGCATGCACACACATGTGCCCGGCGTGAGTTTTAAGCCACTGGGTCCGGGACTCAAATCACAGTCGACTACATGGGAGTCCAGCGACATAGCCATTACGCTAACTGCTGGTCCCAGTTCAGTATATTCTTTTGTTAACTTCTTCCCAAGACACAGATCTTCCTTTCCAATCACCACCCTAGAAATTGTGGAACCCACCTATAACCTACTAGCCCCTGCTTCCACATGTTCTGCCTCTTTGGGCCAGACCATTGGAAATCTCTTCACTAATTTCGTCTGTCAATCTTAAAACCAAACAAAAGGAACCCCTGTCTTTAATCCTCCCGAGAAAGGCATGTATGCCTCCTCTCCGGGCCTAGGTCACTCATATTCTGCTTGGAGATAAACCACATTAATTATTAATTTTTAGAGCTGGTTATTTTCCATCGACAAGAGCTAGAAGATGCCTTTTTCTTCTTCAGAGTTTTTTTCTGAAAAATGCGATTTAACTTTAATCCAGTGTGGTTGGGATCCGAAGGAGGACTTTGCCCACGAGGTGGCGCTGGGATCAAGGAAATGAGGACCGCTTTTGCTTCTCAACCTGTGCTCAAGGTCCCTGGGATTTCTGACCCTGGGTTCTGGGCCTGCCTCTGTGGGTGTGTGACTGACAGCCCCTTCCCTGGGACCTGCCCCTAGCCCCACGCCCCAGCAGGGGTGGTAGCTTCAGCAGTCCTCGCCCTCTTGGGGGAAAGGCGGGTCTGTGCGTGAGGAAGTCTCTCTACACTGCAGAGCTCTAAGTAATTCAGTTCTTGGCGAGTGGGCAAACCCCTCAAATAAATTTCCTTTTATGGAATAGTATGCTTTTTTAAAATTAAATTTATTTATTTACATTCATTCACTGTGTGTGAACAGAATCCTAACCTGTTTCCTGGCTTTAAAAAAAGTTTGTTAGCATTTCTTTGATTTAAGTTAAAACTGGTTTCCTTAATAGTAATAGTACCAAGTGAACTTGCTATTGAGAGTAGTTAGATAAGAAATTGTGTGAGCAATACAATGTGGGTGGGAAAGGAATGGAAGACAATTGTAGACACCAGAGATAGTGTGAGAAGAGGGTGGGAAAGGTCAGAGGGTCAGAAATAGGGGGTAAAAAAATTCTAGAAACTAGAAATGGAAAATTTTTGATAATAATATGCACGATTAAGCCACTATGCAGTATATTCTGGATGGGAATAGTATGTTTTTAAAATTTTTTAAAAAATTATTTTATTTAACTTTATTTATTTACTTATTCATTTTAATTTAACCAGAGAGGAACAAAGTGAGTCTGTGTGTAAGAGAGAGAGAGTGCACATGAGAGAGAGAAAGTGAGAAAGCAAGCTGTCAGGTCTGGGACTCGAACCATGGTCGACCATGTGGGAGTCCAGAGTAGTTAACCACTTGCCACCTGCCAGACTCTTCACAGTCATCCCCTTTGGGATGGCCTTGTCATCTTGGGTATGAGAAGTTTTCGAAAATCTCATGGAAATGTATTATGAAAACGTTCTGCATGTGTTTTAATATTTTTTGCCACCGAATAAACTAATACTATAAAATTCCATTTTCCCACAAGCTTTCTGAAGTCCTCATAGTGTGGGGTCTGCTTACTTAGCTGAGTGCTGTGACCAGCAGCCATTCTATCACTGTCATACCTGTCCCCAGGAGGTCTGGGATGTCCCCAGGCCCGCCTGAGACCATGGCCTGGGATCACGGAAAGTATTTATTCATGTGTCTGGAGTCGATGTGGCTGCGGCTGGACTTTGGCTCAGCCATCGAATGCTCCACGCTGCCTGCCCACGTGCCGCCTGGGCGTCCTCCCAGCCTGGCGGCTTGGCTCTAAGCACGAGTGTCCCCTGGAGCAGCTGGTCTTTGACAGCCTTGGAAGCCACGGGTCACTCCTGCTGGGATCACAGACCCTCCCAGACTGAAGAAAAAACAAAGCAGACCCCACCTCCCGAGGGGACAGTGTCCTGGTCACACCCACAGTGCCGGTGGGAGGACACTGTTAAGGCTTCGCTGGGGATAATCTGCCTCAAGCAGGTCCAGAAGAAGCGAGGTGCATGCCTCCCCAGGGGGGCCCTGCATTACTGACTGCCATCCATTGCAGGGCACTTGCCTCCCAGGGTGCCGGGCACGGCAGGGCAGGGCCATGGCCGGGGGCACCTGCCTCAGAGGGGCTGACTGACCTCCAAGCTCTTGGGGTGACTCGTATTGGCCTAGGTCGGCTCGGCTTGTTCCGAGGTGGGAGGTGATGGAAGTAGCTCAGAGTAGCAAGGACTTAGCTCCACTGTTGGGGCAGAGAAGAGGTCTCCCTCTCCGTGTCCTGCTCCCTGGCTTTGTTCCCTCCTCCTGGGAATATGAACGGGGCTGCGTCCAGCTCCCGGCAGCGATCAGCCTCGGCACCTGG